CCATGGTCCCTGTGTGTGTTGTAGAGTAGTCACCGCTCCAAGCTCACTCCCGGGATGGACTACAATCTCAATACAAATGAGTAATCTAAACGTGAGATTGTACATTGTTGTTCAGAGTTCAGGGACGGGAAATAATTTTTAAGATTTAATGTTACTTTAAGCAACATCAGCACGTGTCGGGTAACTTAAAGGAGAACTATGAGGTGATTGCTTTTCACTCACCTCATAGTTGGAGCCGACCTGTGACAATGAGACTGTCACAGGTCGGCTCGGTAGATCGGGAGGTGAGCGAACACATACCGGCGTTCGCTCACCTATCGATCCTGTCACGGCTCTCTGCCGTGACAGGGGGAGGGGCTAGATTCCCCCCCTCCCCCATCAGATCTGCCAGCGCTGACTGGCGGAACGGACGGGGGAGGGGGCGGGTACAGCTGGCTCTGCCTCTTTAGGGAGCTGTAGCTCGCGGTATACTGATCCTAGGGTGACGGGAGGACGCTAGTTTGTGTCCTCCCGTTACCCTAAGGAGAACTATGGGGGAAAGCCCTGACCCCATAGTTCTCCTTTAATAATAACTCTGTTGACAAATTTGCACACAAACAGTTTTTTTGAATAACATAAAAAAAAAATTTGTGAGTGGGGGGGGCACATTGTTTAATCTAGGGGAAAAAAACTGTTTTTATTATAGGTTGCCAAATGTATGAAAATGTTGCTTAAGAAAAATATATATTTCTGTTTTAATTATTTTAAATGTAATAATACCACTGTATCCTGACAGTTACACTATTATTATTATTATTATTATTATTATACACGATTTATATAGACAGATACACTACCAAAATATGGTGATCTGGGCAATCAGGGGCGCCGTACCTTTCCAAGAGCAATTTGCTAACCAATCGCTGGCCAGAATGAGGGACGCGCGCTTTCACTATGGACTCCTCACAGGCGGAGTGCATTTGGTATGACTCCGCCTGTGGCAGGAGGCGGCGCTATAGAGGCGGCATCAGCTTATGCGGCTCTGCTCCCTCCGCTTCTGCCTCTCTTCCTCTAGCGCCGGCTTCGTCGGCACCGCTGATTCTCCACCACGGCTCTTCAAGTTCCCCCTTATGCCACCACCGGCCCTGGGAATGGTCCCAACTAGGTCTTATTTTCGGGGGAAGGTCTTATATTTTCGCAATTCCGAAAAATCTTACTAGGTCTTATTTTTGGGGTAGGTCTTGTTTTGGGGGGAAACGGGGTATTAAACCGATGAAGGGTGGCCGGGTTTACCTACGCTTTGACAGCTTTCCCTTTTTGTCAGTGAGTCTTCCAGCCTACATGTGGTCACTATGTTGGAGCGTTCTTAGTGTTCACGTGATCTAGAACCACTCTGATGGGTTCCGAACGGGGGTCGGCTGAGCTGTTGCCTTTTTTATTTATTAATTTATTACATTTTTTGTACTTACGGCTTCCCAAGGCCCGGCAATATTTGATCGGCCTTCAGACGCATCCTCCTCCTCCTCCGCCCGTACCCATCTCCTCCACCCCGGCTCGCCACCAGCAGATGCTGCGAGCCTCAAAGCCTGTTTACTTTCCTGTTACATTAGAGTTTAATTAAAGAAAACAACTAGTTGTAGGCAGTTATTTTCCGCCGCAGCTAATGAAGATTTATTTTGGGAGTGACCTTCACTGTATTAGCTGAACGAGTAATC